ATTTTACTCAACTACTTCACGGGCTAAATAAAGAGCACTTAACGCCTCGTTTAATAAGGTTTTTTTAAATACTAAAAGTAGTTTTAGATACAAAACTCAGTGACAAACATTCTCACATAAATTATAATTTTGAAACACTGTAATAATTTAATTCCTGGTCATCCTGGATTAATCTTAAAGGATTTTCTTAAACCCGGAGCTGCCATATTATTTCAATGTTAAAGGGCTTACCTGAACTCTGGACTCGGTGAGGCCGATCCTCAGCGCCAGCTCCTCCCTCATGAAGATGTCTGGGTAGTGGGTTTTGGCGAAGCTGCGCTCCAGCTCGTTGAGCTGCGCCGGCGTGAAGCGCGTCCTGTGCCGCTTCTGTTTCTGCTGGCTGGCGCTCTGTCCGGAGCTCTGCTGCGGCTGCTGCTGCTGCTGTTGCTGCTGCTGCTGCTTCTCCTGCTCCTTCCCGTTCACCGGCATGCCGGCGGAGTTGGAGCCCACGGCGGCGATGTCTTCGCCCGGCAACAGAGTGGTTCCCTCCACTGAGTCCGAGCCGGGGGCCATGTCTCCCGGATGGCCCTGCTCGGGAACCCCACCTCCCAGCCGACACTTAAGAGCTTCTCTGTGTCCGAGTAGCTCCGCGGCATCTTTCATCCCTGAGAATCAAGTGGAAATTATCTTACTCTTGAATTAAAACAACACAAAGATACTCTTGTATATAAGAAAAAATAGATATATAAACATACAAAAGCTGAATTTACAGTATTTTTTGCTTTCCGAGCAAATAGTTAACACATTATTAAAAATAAAAACAAATTACTTTCAGTAACAATAAATTACTTAAACAGTTAACACAATTAACTTCACTGCCTATTAAGGAGGTTAAACAAGAAGTTGGACTCTTACACTGGAGTTTAGGGCCGGAGTTTAGTGAGGACAACTCACCGAGCCGAGCATCCAGGAGGTCGGCGTGAGAGAGCATGGCGTACCGCTCCAGGGCGACTGAAATGTGCTCCCCCCACAAAAACACCCCTGCAACTTTAGGGGCAAATTTAAAAAGTATATATGGTCTAAATGAACGAAAATGCGGTTTGTGGTTAAAAAAGGGGGTCCCTTGCATTATAATGTCCTTTAGAGCGACGGGGAGGCGCCTATTAGTTGAAAGAACCCGTGAGCTTCCTCAAATAGGAGCCAATCAGAGCAGGAGCCTGGAAATGTCAGCGACATGACTCCCCCCCTCTCCTCTTCCCCTTTTCTGCCACCTCCCCCTCCCTTTTTTCCSCCTTAAACACACACCGGCACGCACGCAGGCATGCGCGCACAGAGCCGCAAACACTACATTTCAATCTCGTGCCATTCCATCCACTGATTTATTAGCTTTTCATGCTGAAATTATTCCATGTTTAACATCTTAATGTGTTTGTTTAATCTCATATATTCTGTGCGCAGACAGGACTCCCCTGATGGTGTGGATTTAAAAAAACAGTTTTAATTTAGTCTGAACCATTAACACTAAAGGGTTTATCTCCAAAGAATTTGCACTGTTTTTATTTCTCAAACACATGCTTGCTGAAAAGAAATCAGACTATGAGGAGAAAAGCCTCTCCTCTCAGCCCCACTTCCTTGGATCACAAATACAGCCTCCCATTCATTCCCCTCATGGCAGGTGATTTGTGGAGACAAATCGAGGAAATAAATAAAGAAAAGGAGAACAGATGGATTTAAACTCTGTTAGTGATCGGCCGCTTTAACTCCCATCGACTTTTCATCAACTCGGGTGCAATTAAAGGTATTTAGGCCCGCTCGGCTCAAACAGAATCAGACGTGGTGGACCCTAAACGACTGTGCCCCCCCTTTAGCAGGAGTCCATAAGTAGGTCTATTATATAATTAACAGGACGGTCATTGATCTGCGCTGCGCCCCTGCACCGCAGACAGTGGCTGGTTAGAGGCGGCTGCCGGCAGATGTCAGGGGGGGAACCTGCGGAGCGCGCGGCCGCCACCATGGGACTGAAATTGGGTTTCTTTGCAGCCGCACAAAGGAGGCGTCCGAGCGAGGAGCCGGGGTGTCTCCGCTCCCGTGCAGCTCTGCGTGCAGGCGGCTCATCTTTTATGCTCCTCAACGGTAATCTGCAGGGGGACGCGCATAAAGCCTGCGCCCGGCACTCAGCGTGAAAACTTAAGGGAACTGGTATAGCGCGGGGTCCAGTGAGGTGGGGGGAAAAGCTGGGACCTGTTCCCGGATGGTTCGGKTGCAAGAAAAGCACCCGAAACAGACGCTCGATTCCTTTTCTATTCAGACCTGGAGGGCAAAGAGGAGAAGAGCAGGGAGCTCTGTGCGCCGGGAGACGTCAGGCCAAAGAGGCGCGAGATGGTCTGTATGCTCCGGGGGGGACGTTTGGTTTCCACCACGCTGCAGCGGAAACCCCCGTGAAATAAACTCATCTAGTAAATATTACATTTTAGCTCG